AAACAAACAGCTTTTGCCTCAGGAAAATTAGTTTTTGAATTTTTAAAATTCGAAGACGAAGTCAAAAAATAAAATAAAAAATTGCTCAATTTAGATCTCGAAAAGATCTACAACCCCACATTTTTTGTTTTGTTTTTTTGATAAATTTTTAAGGTAAAAAAAAATTCCTGAAAGTCGCGGCTGCACCCAACCGCGGCCGGAGCCGAGCGGCCGTGATCACGTCCGCCCTCCGAGCTTGACCCCGCGGACACGTGTTTCATAGCTCCCTTGCCTTTCGACCCTTTCTTACTCCTACCTTCGAATAAGCATAGATGCAGGTGTGTGACTCTATGAGATTTACCTCAGTATTAGGCAATCTCGGTGTCTTCTGGCCGCTGCCCGCTTCCTTCTGAACCGCCTTTCTCCTGGGTATCGGGAGCTTCCACCTTGCGGTGGTCGTTGCTGACTGTGTATCTCCTGCTACCTCTTCCCCTTCTGTAGGGAGATGCCTGCTCGAGCTGTGGACCAAGGCCAGAATAGCCTGTATCCGAGCTCCAGAGCCCGTTTGGCCAGCGATGGTGAAAAGTGACGGTAAAACCCYAATTCACCATGGCTGCTTGAACTACAGGTCGAAAAGTTACCGTTCACCCGGTATGTTCGAGAAATACCGTTCCCACGCGCGCGAGAGAATTAGCGCGAGAATTAGCGCAGCCCCTAGCGCTACCGGCCCTTTCCCACCGCCCGCCCACCGTTCTCTCGACTTCTCACATATCTTTCGCCCAATGTTACATGGACAATAGACATGATTTTTTTCGCCCAATGTTACAGGGCCTCGCTCTACTACTCTCGGCATGCACGGCAGACAAAAATCATGGCGGTGCACCTTTCCAAGTCCTAGCAAAAGATTCACTTTCTTTTTGCACATGTCGGTAGTATAGTGAGCGAGGTCCACCGTATCCGACGGTATCGAGAGTAACGGAGCGAGGCCCACTGTATCCGACGGTGTCGATAGTAGTGGAGCGAGGCCCACAGTATCAGTGGAGCGAGGCTTACAGTATCCGACGGTGAGTACCGGTCGTTCCATCGGATTTGCGTTCACAATTTTCCTGGATGCATATGGCCGTATTTATGGCCACATTCGGTGCCCAAAGTCTTAGCACTCGTTCGAGGGGAGTCCGAAAGTAGGTGTGACACGTGTCGCGTCGTAGGCCACGCACGAGACTCACGTGTCGCTCGCAGGTGGAGCTGACGTGTCATGCAGCTGAGCCTCTGATCTGTCGGCGTGTCCCGATACCGTTCGCGGTCTAGGGAGCGTGTAGAGGTCTGTTTCTCTTTACCGAGTAGTAGGGCCTCGCTCCGCTACTCACGACAAGCACAAAAGACAAAAAATATGGTGGTGTATCTTCGCGTATTCTAGAGGAAAATTCATTCTCAGTTTGCACATGTGGTGAGTTGTAGAGCGATCCCGTATTCCTCCAATTAGAAAATAGTTTCCTTTTTTCTTTTTTTTGCCCAAAGTCTACACTATATTATTTTCTCAAATTCAATACGTAATTCCCCTTCTCTTTCCACCTACATCTCTCCTTTCTCTGATTTTCTCCTGGTTTGGTTTGCAGTGGAAGAACAAAGGTCGCCCTCCGCTCGTCCTGGGCTGTGGTCAGTACACAGGCGAAGCYGGAACGAGGAGCAGAACGAGGAAGGTCCGCAGCTCCAGGCACCGGCTTCGCGCAGGAGAAGCAGCCCGAGGTAGAGTGCCCTGCTTCCTATCTTGTTGTGTGCGTGTTTGTCTGTGGTTTGTGTGTGTGTGTGTGTGTGTGTGTGTGTGTGTGTGTGTGTGTGTCCGGTAAAGAAAAGTCCAAAAGAAAGGGTGACTGACTGTTTCGTCGAACTTTCAGCGACTCAAGGACATGAGGACGTTGAACGGTGACAGGCTCCCCAGGGGGATGCATTCGAGTGATGGATAAGGACTCACCACCTTGCCCAAAGTTAGCGATACGCTTGTGGGAGAAAAAAAAAGTGGTCGATTTTACTCGTAAGGTCTCTCTCTCTCTCTCTCTCTCTCTCTCTCTCTCTCTCTCTCTCTCTCTCTCTGTCCGTTCGTCCGTTCGTCCGTTCGTCTGTCTGTCTGTCTGTCTGTTTGTGTGTGTGTGTGTCTGCTCTCTCTCTCTCTCTCTCTCTCTCTCTCTCTCTCTCTCTCTCTCTCTCTCTCTCTCTCTCTCT